GTATACAAAATTTTAGTAAAAAATACTGTTGGGTACATACCCTGAAAACACTGCCTTCCTTATTTAATCATCTTTTTTTAACAATCCTTGATAATTGCAGGTCAGCCATAAGACATTTTTTCTATATAGAAACAAAAATTAGAAATCTTTGTAAGGTGACCTTGGTGACAAGATTATAATATTTTTTTTTCATTCAGTTTTAGGGTAAAGTAACACATTTCTAAAGTACATTATATATCTTTTCCCCTTGTATCAATAAATCAAATAAATTGCCTCTTCCATAATGCACTCCTGTTGTTATAGTAGACCTTATCTGATTTTTAAGTACTGTTCAAAGGATGGGATGGGACGGCACATGGGGTACCTGAATAAGAAAACAAACCATAATACTTCTTTGTTCAAAGGTCAGCTATAATATAACTTTTCACAGCAAAGCTGTTCATAAGTCACTTGAAAAATAACTGAAATAGCAAACATTCACTGCATCCCAAAACTTTAATTATTTAAAAGTATTTTTTTTAAAGTACAGAATATACATAATTAGGGAAATCAAATTCGGAGAGCACTGTTTTGAAGAAAGGTGGCTTTTTAGCAGATGAAGACAACTTTTTCTTGGGCAGAATAAATTTGGATCCCAAATGAATTTATATAAGGTATCTATTATTGTTATTGTTTTCTGACAATATTTACCATTAAATATACCTCTTTTATATGTAGAAGAAAACCTGTCAATGATTCAATCTCATGTAACATTTTATTTGGTAAGAAAAGGCTCAGATGCCATTTATTTATAAAATTTCCTTTCATCACCTAGCCTTTACAATGTAGCAAATATGTAGGAATTGTCTATGGATGTGAGGTAACAGAAGTGAGTCACCCATACAAAGCAGCTGGTCTTGTGTGAAAAAAACACTTGTCTTAGTATTTTGCTATGTGAATTACTCTCAGATCGATAGTTTCATTGATACTGAGGGTCTTCAAATAGGTTGATTCTAACACATGTGCCCAAGTAACATTCAAGAATGGAGGAAGAAAAAACATGGTATAATTTTAAATATTCTCATCATTATTTTCCACATCTGGTACCTTGTTATTGACTTTAGAGGCCACTTTGACTCTGAAGAATTTTTGTAATGAAAATTTGGCATCAGTATAGATGTGTTGGTAAAACACATTTTTATATTTTCCTACCAGATCCTCTCTTAAAAATTTGAAGTATCCATACTGTTTGCTAATTGCCTAGTGACAATCATGTGATGAAGACATGGCACTAGGATTGGGGAGTATAGACACTCGAGGTCTTGTCCACCCTTAGCACAGAATCTCACTGGGTGATTAAGGACCACTCAGTTTTAAAGAACCTCAAAGGTTCATAGAAAAAAGGTTCAGAGAAAATAAGAATAGGGAGCCCTCTGCATACCCAAATAAAAAGCAAGATTCAAATTAATAAATATAAGAAAGAGTCCTATGCAGAAGTCATAAGATCCACCATTACTGAATCGGTAATTCATGAGAGGGATCACATTTAGAAACTAATCATTTGAACATCATGTGAACTTGTTATTTTATTATAGCTCTGACTGGAAAGTTTGGTTAGTTGGCAGATTGGTGTGGGAAAGGGAGAGGCCTTTGATGTTCACAGCTTTCTTCCTTTTTCCCCCTTCATAATGTTTATCTTTCATTTGTGTAAAGAGAAGTGGTGAAAGAAACATATATAATAATCTAAACATTGCAAACTGATTTACTGTCAATACAGAACACTGACGTTCTACTCACTTTACAGTAACACGGGCAGTTTTGTCTTCAACTGAGTATTTTAATAGCTTGCAAACAGTGCTTCTATTAACTTTTAAAACTAGAAATGTTCCAAAATTATTGGGTTATTTTTAGGGCACATATTTATTATAATCTATTAAGAGCGAGATGGCATGAGTATGCTTGACTAATGTCACTAATACTGCGAATTAAAATAATAAATTGTAATATATTATTTGTGCTATTAAAACCCACTTTTTTGCTTTTTACAGTTTTTACTTTTGAAGCATCCATTGTCAGTTTTCTCATGTAGTTTCACAAAGAAATGTAATTGTCCAATCTAATAATTCTGATGATAAATCCTGATTCAGAGCAAGACCATCCTCACTAACTCTCTGATAATCGTCCCAAACCACATCATAAAAGAACAAATGGTACATTACACAAGTGTTGCACAATTGGAAATAGCATTTCAGTTTGATTTGTAGCATGCTGGAATTACTCTCCTTAAATAGAAGTAGTCATTATACAGTGGTCCTTGTCCTTCTGTTCTTATCAGTGAGCTAGTAAATATAGGTTTCACTAGATTTGTAAATAGCAGTAGGCTTAGGCACAAGCCTAAAAAAGAGTTCAGAATACACCCATCATTTTGTGTTGAGATTTAGAGGAGAGGGGAAGAGGGTTGCTGCTTTGAAACTAATGCAAATACAGGCTTGTTAAGCGAATCACTGCAGTTGTTAAGTTATGACATAGTTAAGTGAACCTGGTTTCCCCGTTGACTTTATTTGTCCGAAAGTTACAAAAGGTGATCACATGACCCCTGGACACTGCAACCATCATAAATATGAGACAGTTGCTAAGCGTCTGATTTATCACGTAACCATGAAGATGCTGCAGTGGTCATAAATGTGAAAAAGGGTTGATACGGTTTTTTTTTTGTGATGTAACTTCAAGTGGTCACTAAATGAACCATTGTAAGTTGAGGACTATCAGTACAAGCTTTTTAAAATGTTGGTTTCAGTGTCCCTTGATATTAAGGATCAGAATATCAATCCTCATTCATTCCCTTCATGTGTTTTGAATGGTAATGGCCCCAGTGTATAGTTTGAAGACCCATGATAAGTTAACATTATTGAATGTTGTCCAGCTTGTCCAGAATGAAAGAGAAAAAAATATATGGAGAACTATAACCAGTGAATGCCAGCTTCCAAAGCAAAAGATAGGAAATCATTTTGATTCAGTAAGATTTAGTGAGACCCAATACACCTAATGACCCTTTTTATTTATTCCATTAATTTCAAAAATGTAAGTATAGCTAATTTCATTAGATTGGGTTTGAAAATGTGCAAACTGTTGCCATTAATTTTATACATGTTCTTTTCTCCATAATGCCAACTATTTAGAAAGTACTATTTATGTTAGAAGTACTTGCCAGAGGGAGCCAAAAGCTCGTTTTAAAAGGTTGGATTTGACGTATAGCACAATATACAAAATAGAATTGCATGGGATACTTGAAAGTTTTTCTGGGAGCACTTGGAATTTTGAATAATATGAAAGACATGATAGACACCAATTTCTACAGGTTCTGCTTTGTCATTTTTGTTCACCATGTCACAAACATCTGTATTTTAAAAAATCACAATACAAAAAGATAAGTAAAATTAAGTAAATTAGTTTTTAGAACATGAATGAAGTAGAAGTGGGATCTGAACCTCACCACAAACATCTGAATTAATTTTTAATCTCCTGTTTATTAGTCATTATGAAAATATATGGTTTCATCAAAACCCAAATAGACTAAATGCTTTCTCTCCATTCTCTCCGATCTCCTAGTCCCATTTGTTCCCCTGCCTCGCTGTCATCTCTAAATCTTGCTTCTTTTTAAGGCACCGTCAGTGCTAAGGGTTTTTTCCTTCCCTCTGCCTCCCAGCTGGCCAGGAGAACTTAAAAGCAAGAGTGTGCCTCCAGCCACTCCTAGCCTTTATTTCTGAAGAATTTCTCTGAGTCTCATGGGAGCCAGAGGCATTCTGTGGAATAAAGATGGCAGACAGCATGGAGGGTTAGCTCATTACTTTGAAGTCTTCCCTCACATAAAATAAATTGCGGATAATACCAAAGTACTTTGTAGACAGAACAGAAGGTGCCTGTGGATATCATGTTGCTTTATCCCCTCACAGGCATAAGCCTGCTCACATGATACAAAATTTACATTCAAGAGTCATTCCTCCCCCCCTTTTTTGGTATAATATAGTGAAAAACAATTTCAAGATGAAGGGACAAGAAAAGACGCAGCAAATCTTTCTCTTAGTAATCAGTTTAGGCTGTTATGTTGCAATGCATTTTTGATGGACTTCCATTATACATGCTTTGTTATTTGTACAGTGCGTAATAATACAGAACGGAGGAGATCTGAAGCTCTCTTGTGCTATTGACTAAACGTTTTGGCATCAGAAGAAGTTGAAGCTGTACAGCCCTGTTAATAGTTTTAAGTTAACTCTTGGCATTACTTTAAAACAATTATGCAAGATCTATCACAAGTACTCCTCTTATCTTATCTGAATTGCCATTCATCCTGTAAATGATTTAAACATACACTATTCCATTATTGTTTAAGAGAGATAGAAGAGGATTCTGTTAAATATTTGTACTGTGAGTTATTTTAGTTGCTTTGAGCCAGTTTAGAAGCTTTGCACTTTACAGGTTTTGCTTTAATGCGTCTTAAGTTCCCAAATGAATCACATTCCGTATTTGCTGACTAGTCTGTTCTGCATAGTTGAATGGAAAATGTATAATAGATCCAAAGTATTCACAGGTTTAAATCATTGTAAAATAAATGCAGTTCATTGGGAACAACAATTAATCTTGTTATAGATGCATTTGAGTTTGGCACCTAAGTTATACAACACAGGAAGCTGTTTTATATTTTCAGTAAATTGGTCCCATTGGCCTAATGTTGTCCTTATAGAAGCAATAAGCATGAGCTTGCAGGAGTTTTTATAATATTTTTTCTCTGTCAGCAAAGTAATACTATATGTCTTATTCTAGCTAATACAATTATTATTGGCTTGCCAGGGCTGCTGTAGAAAGGAACTAGCTACTTACTGAGATGAAGGGGGAGACTTATTACATGGGCAACTTCACGAAGGAACTTAAGAAATCCATGAATGGTGCAAGCACAGTTTCTTTTATTTTGTTAGCTTGTAATGCTGGAAAAATTCATTGCATTTTTTTTAATATTGTTTCAGGGTTTACAATATGAGATTGAAAGTTATCACAATCAGGTGCACTCTGCAGAAGAAAAGCTGCAACAGAAAGATCTGGAGGCACAGGAACAGGTATAATTATTTTGCTGAGAGATTTCTGCTTTTTAGACAAAGGACAATGAAAAACACACATGAACGATTTTATATATGAAAATAATCTCTTACTTCAGGGGTGTCAAACTGGTACCCTGCGAGCTGGATGCGTTACATGCAGTTTCACGAATTGGAAAAATGTCACAAAACGTCATGTGACAGTGACATGGCGAGTTTGACACTTGTGTCTTACTTGATAATACAGTAGATGTTTTGCTGATCTTTGTAGGATTTATATTTTATTTGTATTAATAAGAAAGATGTCCATATCCTGAGCTAATGCCCCCTTTTTCGGTTTACCTTTTTAGCTGTTGGTGAGGTACTTTATTGTAGATGAGAATACTATTTTTGCATTTATAAAGATAGTATAAAATTATTTATTTATTTATTTATTTAGGCTATTAATTTAACAATCTTTTGGCAAGCTACATTTTCTAAGTGGAATTTATAAAAAGGAGGTTGATTTAGATTTGGTGTATACAATACTTGGTTTTATATGTCCTGGCTCTCATGTTATATACGTTTACTTTTAAAATAAAAATTGTGGGAACATATATTAAACTATGGAGATCAGCATTACAAACATGAGCAGATATAAGCCTTAGATTCACTTGCTTTCTCTTATTTCTTGCCTGAGAGATTTTAGTTGGGATATCTGGGGTTGTTCAAACCATTATTAATTCACAAATTTTAGAATTTTAAAATGTTCTTTAAATGAATGAAATTATGGCCTTCTGGTTGATATCTAGTGTTGTCTATCTGCCAGCACAATTGACAGTATGATAGGACATTCTTTTCTGCATCTCTCTGCACAGTTCTAAAATCAACCTCCTGGATTAGATTTGCATGGTGTACATAGAGTGTACATAGAGTGCATGAAGGGAAGAAAGGGTTTGCTGTGCTGTAGAAGCAGCTGTCTATTTGTATATCTTTAGATGTTGGTGTAAAGTGGAAATAGAAGCTTTAAACTTCTAGTATACTCATGTAGCAACTTATATTTTCACTGATATCTCTCTCCTTTTTCTTTTAGTCATGTTCCTGAGCTTTGCCTTAGGGCAGGGTTTTCCAACCTTGGGAATTTCCAGGAATATGGACTTCCTGCAACCCACAGAATTCCACAGCCAGTACAGCTAATATGACAATTGGTGAGAATTCTGGGAGTGGAAGTCCACATCCTGGAAATTCCCACGGTTGGGAAACACTGCCTTATGGGATTATTTAAAGTTTTAATTCCTTTTATTTTTAATTATCTGTAATAATAATTATCTCCTTTTTATCAGGAGGAATTTGTGGTAAGAGTTTATACACAGCAAACAAACACAAGTAGTTCTCGTTTAAGAATGGAATTAGGGACAAGAACGTCCATCACTAAATGTTGTTGTAAAGGGCAACATGACACGATGTACTGCTTAGCAAACAGCACTTCCACTTACTGTTGCTAAGCAAACTGTTGCAGGTCATTTGCAAGGGCTTCACATGGTTGCCATTTGAGATTTCCTAACAGCTTCCTCATTGACTTTGCTTGTAAGAAGGTTTTAAACGATGATCAAATGACCAAGGGGTGCTGCGGTGTTGTAACTGAGCACCTGAGTCATGATCACATGACCATGGGGATGATGCAACCATGAAGTCCAAATGATCACTAAAAAGTGGTTGTTAAGCAAGGAGCACATGTAATTGTGACATTTGTGTATAAAACCCAACTTTTGCAACTTATTTGTTTGCGATACGTCTCTTATCCATCACCTAATGGAGAAAGTTCATGATATTCATGCATTTCAAAAGGAAAAAGTGCTGCATAAACATCAATGGATTTCTTTCTTAACAAACACTTAATTTTGTTGCTTGTTAAGAATACTTTTGAAACATTTTAAGCTTTTTCTAGAAAAGAAAAAAAAAGTTAGCATCACTAATATACTTGAACTTTATTTATTCAGTTTGTTGTTGTGCCCCAAACCATTTTTTCCATGCTTGTCTTAGAAGAAAATAAGGATATAGGTCAACAAGTCAGAGAACTTCCTTCTAGGACAGGGACGGCGAACCTATGGCATGTGTGCCACAGGTGGCACGTGGAGCCATTTCTGAGAGGATGTGAGGCATTGCCCTATCAGCTCCAGCAGGCATGCGCATGCTGGCCGGCTGATTTTCGGCCTTGATTTTCGTCCATTTTTCACCCTCTGGAGGCTTCCCTGAAATTTGAAAGTATTTGTATACCAAATGATGAATGATTAGGGAATGAATGAGGAAAGTCATGCTATCCTTCTTTATGAAGTTTTATGTCTGCCATATCAGCTTGAAGTGCATGCGTGTTCCTCACAGTTAAAGCTTTGGATCCAAAAGTTGTATGCATGTATTCAGATATGTAGTCATATAGAAGACATTGTCTCCATAATTCCGGATCTAGTCAGCATGTCAGTCTTACCAGGATCAACTGATTTGTTGATCCTTGCTCAACCATCAGTACACCTAGGCAACTGTCTATCACTCCTAATTCAGATTGAATACAGATACAGTACATTAGTGTTACCATGTCCCAAACTTGTAGATAGCAGTACCTAAAATATGTTAAGTAGGACAAGGGAAGGAACAGAATTCAGTGAAATAAATAAGTTGAACAGGAATTTTCCGTAGCTATTTTTTGTAGCAAGTCTGCAGCTAGAAAAAGAGCTATTGCAATGCAGTGCTGCCTTTTTACTTCTCAGGCCATAGAGCTGTCCCATCAAGATTTCATGCTTAAGGAACCAGTTGCTGCTGAATAATCCAGGAGGAACAACAAATGTGACCAAATCTCTTTCAGGTTCGCATCCAAACCTGAAATCATTTTCAAATTGGTCAACACAAGCAGCTTCCTTCAAATGCATCTGTAGCTAACTAGCCATTTCCCAAGAAAGAGATGTCCGTAATTGGTAGTTGTTTTGTAAAATCCAGGGACAGCTTCTTCATGAAGAGTTGAATTACACAATTTATTCCATAATGAGAAATCAATTGCTACCTGGAAAATTCACCACTATATGTTTGCCATCTATGAAGTAGAACCCTGTAGCTTTTTTTAAGGCTACCTTATAGAAAAAGTTGACATAGTAATGCATTTACCCAAATATTCTAATACAAGTAGTTCTTGACTTATGACCACAATTGGGACCAGAATTTTGGTTGTAAGTTGTTGCAGTTGTAGGTTGAGACACAACATGATCAGGCAGAGTTTTAGGGTGTTTATTAAATGAATTACTGTGGTCATAAGTATGAAAGCATTTTATCCAATGTGAGTTTTATGCTGGAAAACGGCAAACTGTGTCGTAGAATGTTATCACATGACCACAGGTTGTAAATGTGCACAGGTTGCCAAGTGCCCAAAATGCAATTACATAACTGCGGGAATGATGTGGCAGTCATAATTTTGAGGACGTGTCATAAGTAACTTTTTACACGTCAATCGTAACTTTGAACAGTCATTAAGAGATCGGTGATAAGTTGAGGATTACCTGTAATGTTCTCCGCATTTCTTTTTTCCAAGTCTGATTAGAGCTAGGAGAATTAAAAGAATGTTTTGCATGCTTTTATCTGAAGCAATTAATTATTTAGTGTTAACTATTCTACAAAGGAAAAATTGAATGAGTCACCTCAAAATGTTAGCTCCCTTTCATTGTTGATCCTTATCCACACTAGCTACAAATGCATCTGCAGAAACCAGTAATGGTAATTTAAAAAAAAACCTATTTGGGACTCTTCTCTACTTCTATAAGATACTATTGTCTTGAGACCACATTTTAGAAAGGTTCAAAAATTGCTTTGGCATAGTTACAAAAGGCAGTTTCATGGGCTTTTACAAGTCTGCATCAAGTAAAAAAAAGCTTATTTAAATGCTTGCTGTTTTTCATTAAAAGGAAAGTCTTGTGTTTTGATTCTATAACAACAACAAACAAATGAATGAGACATGAAAAAAAACTGTGGTTTTAATTAAAAGCACAAGACTGTTTCTTATTATTTCTTATTGGGTGGTATCTTAGTTCTCCATGTTTGCCTTGTTTTTAGATGAGAACTGCCCCTAAGTTTATGCTCATATCTAACAAATTCACTGGAGAGCAAGCTACATGCTACATTGCAGCCATGTCCAATGAAGTCCTGATGTGGGCATTCTTGATAGCAGCTACAGTGTTAGCATAGGAGGAAAGTGTTGATTCGGGTTCAGTCTAGTTCAGATTGCTTATCTAGAGGCTGAACGGTGTTTTTAGATAGGAATCTTGCTTAGCCCTACTGAATAACATTTTATACTGAAGCATGGATTTTTTATATATAACCTGCATCCTTGGTCATATTTGAATTATAGCTTTTCACCATAACTTTTTAAACCTGGAACCTGCAGATCATCCTGATTCTTAATTTGTAAGGAGTCAGTAATTTTAACCAAAAAATGAGCCCACATGAAGTTATCATCTTTTCAAACTCAAGCTTAGCTTGGTGTGCTTTCAAGGTTAAGATCTCAAGAATTATTTGATTTCACATTACCCTTGATAATATACAGACTCCCATGGAATCAAAGAACAGTGAACCTCTCTGTAGTAAAGATGGAATAGTTCATTTCTATCCCAGTCTTGCTCGATTGGAGATGCATAATAGAGTGAATGATGGAGCATTGAACTCTACTGATTTATCAGCTACATGGAAGTCACCAGTGAAGTCTGTAGAAAAAATAAAGTCTCTTCCAATGTGATCATTCTGTTTCAGGATGAAACAATTTGAATTGAACACTTCCCTCAGCTGAAATTAAAACAAACTGTATCTAAAAATTAGAAGTACTAGTTGGAGGCAAGTTCCACATAGATTAGCTGGGGACAGGTTTTAGTGAAAAAAAGTCCAGCTTGAATATATGTACATCCTTTTACAACTCCTCCCCAAGTTGTTTCGGGACATTTCATTGAGAACAGTAAGCCAAGTTCTCTTATTATTTAGAAAAGGAGAACTAAATCCACCAGAGAATA